GTAAGGGGCGGGGCGAGTGTCTGAGGATTTCACCAGAGGATGGTATCGCTCCTCCATTATCGCTCCTCGGTCCTCCGGCAGAAATAAGCGCCATGGCACGGTACTCAAGATGGCGCAGACAAATCAACTTCCGGTGAAACAGAGGACCAAGGAGCAAGGAAATGAAAATAACCGACCTGAGACGCAGCCAACATGAGCATCAGTCACCCTCGGTCTGGGGCTCCACACAAGATCTCGCCTTGTGGGTATCGATCATCATGAGAAAGGTGAGGGATCAGCCCAGAACTACACAGGAGGAACTTGTTAATGATCTCAAGGCAGCTGGGAGCACAGTCACCTAGAAAACTATTGGTATCACACTACACCATAATGGATCAAGTCCTGCAGCGCCGGAAGGCCCCCTGCTCAAGAGGAACATGAGAGGCCCGTCTGAAGTTTGACAACGAACCTCTGAAGGATTCAGAGAAGGCTTGGGAGGAGAGGATGTGGTCAGATGAGACCAACATCGAGATCTTTGGCATCAACTCAACACGCCGTGTTTGGAGGAAGAGAGATGCTGACTATAACCCCAGAACACCATCCACCCGTCAGCATGGAGGTGGAAACATTCTGCTTTGGGGAGCTGAAGCTTCCAGAGGCCAAGCATCAGCCTCAACACCTGAAGGATTTGGAGAGGATCTTCAGAGAGAAGTCGACCAACATCCTTCCTGAGATGTGCACAGACCTGGAGACCAGCGTCTGACCTCTGTGTGTCCAACAAGGGTTTCTCCACCAAGTCCTAACACATGTTCTGCAAGGGGATCAAATACTTATTTCTCTCAGTTAAATGCATATCCACTTTTTATCTTTTATATAATGTCCATTTCTGGATTCTCTTTTTGATATTCTTACTCTCACTGTTCAAATAAACCTACCATTACAATTATAGACTGTTCATTTCTTGGGTAAGTGGGCAAACTAACAAAATGTGCAAGGGATGAAATACTTATTTCCTCCACTGTAAATACTGTACTTAAGAAAAATGTTGAGGAACTATTACTTTACTTAAGTACTTCAATTTTTTTGCGACTTTGTACTTCTACCCCTCTGCAATTCAGAGGTAAATGGTGTACTTTTACTCCACTAATACCTTTAGTTACTTCTCAGATTTTGATTAATTATGGGACATATAATCAACAATTAAATGTAGTTACCTTTACCAGCTTTGATAACACTTTAATGCATCAATAATTATAATCAGAACATATAGGCCAATCTATATAATGAGTCCTTTTACTTTTGGTACTTAAATTATATTTTGATGCTAATACTTTTCTACTTTTACTTGAGTAACATTTTGAATGCAGGAATTTAACTTTTAACAAAGTATTCCTACACTCTGGTACTTCTACTTCTACACGATCTGAATACTTCTTCCACCTCTGCTTTGAATGATAGTGAAACAGTCTCTCTATAAAGAGTGTAACAATTATCCTTATTCCTGATTCCATTGAAATTGTTATTATTAAATCAAAATTCGACTTTAGAATAAAGGACTTTTGTTTTAGGCTTTCCTTTCTTGATTTGTACGCATGGTATCAAGTGTGTAATAACTGCCATATATTTTGGAAAACGTGATACACTAAGGCATTATATGTTTTATTTCTTCCCGTTTAGTTTTTGTTATAGATTTACCAAGACAGACATAATTACAAATACAGCTATACATTATGAGGACAGTGCTCAAACACAAAAAAGGCAACAACAAACAAAACATTATTACTCGGTACCCATCCCTACCAAACACACACACAAACATTTATTCTCATATGTAGATGTACAATTAAAATGTAGTCTGTGAACTGTTTCTCTTTTAGGTCACAGCAATCACAGCAAAGATGTGTATCTACGGTCTCCTCTCGTTTGTGGTCACTTCTTTTGAGGAGGAAAGCCTACAGGTATGCATTCTGATTTTACATATAATAATAATTATACATGTTATTTATATAGTGCTATATAGGCAATGATAAACGTTTTTCACTCAGTCATATTGTGAACTTGCTTTTTCTTAATGCATGTGACAGACTGGTGGTCAGGCGGCTCAGTGCTCCCACCTCATCGATGCTGCCTGTGAAGTGCTCTCTGCTCCAAATCTGGCAGAAGTGTTTTGGGAAATGGTGAGAATATGGAAAAAGGGGATTCTTTTGAGTTAAAATCAGATATAATGTTTTGTGATGATAATGTTTCCTGTTTGTTTAATGTTTTATCCAGAAACCGAACATGGGACTGGGAATGATTCTGGACAGTGCAGTCGGGATGTTCCCTCACAAAATTGGACCTCTGTTACAGCTTCTAACTGCACTTCTGTCAAACAAGTCCACTGTGAAAAAGGTAGCTTTTACACACACACACACACCACGCACGCACGCACGCACGCACGCGCGCACACA